CAATGGACCAAGGGTCATGCAGAATAAATGCCAGAAGTGAACGCCTGATACACTGATGGAGAAAATGAATCTTGAACCCTACCTCACACCGAATATAAAAATAATTTAAGATGATCTTAGGAGAGGCGCCTGGGGAGCTCAGTTGGTTAAGCCTCTGCCTTTGGCTCAGGTCATGATCTCAGGATCCTGGGATCAAGCCCCTGGTCAGGATTCCTGCTCAGCAGGGAGTCCACTTCTCCCTCTCCCCACCATCCCCCCTCATGCTCTCTTGCTCTCTCAAATAAATAAAAAAAAAATTTTTTTAAATCAATTAAACAAATCCATCCAAATTTGTTTTAAAACAAATTATAAACATACAGTTGTTAAAGCAGCATATGAATAAACCTAAGAAATCATGGGGCACCTGGGTGGCTCAGTTGCTAAGCATCTGGCTCAGGTCATGATCCCGGGGTCCTCGGATGGAACCCCACATCGGGCTCCTTGCTCGGCGGGAAGCCTGCTTCTCCCTCTCCCACTCCCCCTGCTTGTGTTCCCTCTCTCACTGTGTCTCTCTCTGTCAGATAAATAAAATCTTAAAAAACAAAACAAAACAAAGTTTTGGGCAGCCACCTAGGAAAATAATGAAGTGGGATCCCTACCTCTTTATTTACACCAAAATAAATTCCAGTTGGGTCAAGATGGAAGTGTTAAAAGTGAAACCATATAGATCTATAAAAAAAACCAAACCAAAACAAAACCTCGCAAGGAAGTTTTATTTATATTTTTAGAGTGGGGAAAGCCTTTTCAGGCATGACATAAAAACAGGGAGTAAAAGAAAAAAAAAACACAGATATATTTGAACACATAAAAAGTAAAAATTTTGATATGGAAAACTTCTTTAAAGATTGACAAACATTTGCAACAATGTGGCTGGAACTAGAGTGTAGTATGCCAAGCGAAATCAGTCAGAGGAAGACAAATACCATATGATTTCACTCATATGTGGAATTTAAGAAACGAGACAAACAAGCAAAGAAAACAAGAGAGGAACCAAAAAACAGACTCTTAACTATAGAGAACAAAGTGGTAGTAACCAGAGGAGAGGTGGGGGGGGAGGGGAGATGGGTAAACTAGGTGATGGGAATTAAAAAGTACATTTACCATGATGAGCACTGAGTAATGTACAGAATTGTTGAGTCATGATATTGTACGTCTGAAACTAATATAATAGTGTATGTTAGTTATGCTGGAATTAAAGAAAAATCTTAAAAGTAAAAAATAAAAATAAATCGTAAAGGCCAATGAAAAATTTGGGGAAAATACTTTCAGTACATAATATGATATGGGGTTGGTCTCTTTTTTTTTTTTTAAGATTTTTTTTATTTATTTATTCATGAGAGACAGAGAGAGAGAGGCAGAGGGAGAAGCAGGCTCCCAAGAAGCAGGGAGCCCGATGCGGGACTTGATCCCAGGACCCTGGGATCATGACCTGAGCCGAAGGCAGACGCTTAACCATCTGAGCCACCCAGGCGCCCAGGGTTGGTCTCTTTAATATTTAAATACTTAAGGGCGCCTGGGTGGCTCTCATTAAGCATCTGCCTTCGGCTCAGGTCATGATCCCAGGGTCCTGGAATTGAGCCCCGCATCTGCATCCGGCTCCCTGCTCAGCGGGGAGCCTGCTTCTCCCTCTCACACTCCCCCTGCTTGTGTTCCCTCTCTCGCTGTCTCTCTCTCTGTCAAATAAATAAATAAATACTTAAATATTTAATGTAAAAGACCAAGTATCCATTAGAAAGACGCACAGGGATATGACTCAATTTAGACCACAGAAAGAGAGCTACAAATGAGCTGCTTTAACATTGAAAAAGTTGCTCAACCTCCCTCATAAATAAGCGTCGCCAATAAAAACAACAGTGAGACCCCCTCAGGGACAAAGTAAACAACTCCAGGCGCAGAAGTCTTCCTCTGTGAATTCTTCCAAACACTGATGGAAGGAAAAACACCAGTCTTAAACAAACTGTTCCAGAGAACAGAAAAGAGGAAAGAAACATTGCCCAATGCTTTAAATGAGGACAGCATCATCCTGAGAACAAAACCTGAACAAAGAAATTTCAAAAATGAAAAGTAGAGGGCGATTTCATTCATGGACAGAAATGCAAAACTCCTAAATGAAAGATGAACAAGCCAAATCATCCCCGATTGGGGTTTATTCTGTGAGTGCAAGATTGGTTGCACACGAGAAAGTCAAGCCATGTAATTCATTGTGCTAACACACTAACAGAATAAAGGGAAAAAGAGAGAGACAATCGACCATCTCGATATATGCAGAAGAGCGTTTGATTAAAGTTCCCAACTTGCATTCACAATAAGAACCTTCAGTAACTATAAATGGAAAGAAACTTTCCTAATCTGATAAATTGCAGCTGCAGAACCTTTACAGAAAACGTCATACTTCGTGGTAAAACATAAAAAGCCTTCCTTCTGAGATTGAGACCAATTCCTTTTGAGGCCAAGATAAGCATGGCCGGCTGTTATAATTTCCTTTCATTAGTGGAAGGGAAGTTTTCACTAACATAATAAAGTGAGGGAAAAAAATAAAAGACACAAGGATTGGGAAGGAGAACATAAAACTGTAGCTACTTTACAGATAAACTGTTAGAAATAGGTGAATTTTACACAATCGCAGGGATCAAGGAAAATACACAAAAACCAATAATATTTCTACATATAGCCACAAACAGAAAACATCTTTTGGAATTGAAATCATAAAAGCATAAAAAAAAATCAAAGTTAGTAAAACTAACATGGGTACGCAAGATCTCTACAATGAACATTATAAAATATAATTCGGAGAATTTTAAAAAGACCTAAATAAATGGAGTCTTATACTATACTCATGAACTAGGAGGCTTAGTTTTGTGAAGATGCTCATTCTCCCCACATTCATCCAGAGGGTCAGTGCAACCTTAATAAAAATCCTAAACGATTTTTTTGTGGAAATTGGCAAGCTGCTTCTAAAATTCATATGGAAACACCAAGAACCAAGACCAGCCCAAGCAATTTTGAAGAATAACATAAATGGAGGACTCACACTACCAGGTATCAAGAACAAGCTATGTAATTAAATAATTAGATAATTGAGGGGCGCCTGGGTGGCTCAGTTGGTTAAGCGACTGCCTTCGGCTCCGGTCATGATCCTGGAGTCCCGGGATCGAGTCCCGCATCGGGCTCCCTGCTCAGGGGGGGGTCTGCTTCTCCCTCTGACCCTCTCCCCTCTCATTCTCTCTGTCTGAAATAAATAAATAAAATCTTTAAAAAAAAAAATTAGATAATTGATAAGTAAGGCAATTTGGTATTGGAGCAAAGATAAACTAGGCAATAGGACAGAACAGAGACTCATCGTGTCTCTGGTAGAAGGGACACAGCAGTGCAGAGGGCAAGGGGTGCTGTTTCAATATGTGGTCTGAGTCAGCTGGATATCTGCATGAAAAATGGGAATCCTGACCCCTACTGCACACCATGCACAATCTACTCCAGATGGCTTGCAGATCTCATTATAAAGTATGAAGCAATAATGCTTTTATTGGAAAACACAGGACAGCTTTGTAACTTTGGAGTAGGTGAATGTTCTTAAACAGGACACGAAAAGTACTAATTATAAAAGAAAAAAAATTGATAAATTGGACTATATTAAAGTTAAGAACCTCCGTTCAACAAAAGACATCATTAAACAGTGAAAATCATTAAAACAGCAACTCATGGAGTGGGAGAGTATTTACAGTATTTATATCTGACAACAAACTTATCCAGAGTCAAAAATTTCTACAAATAAGGCACGCCTGGGTGGCTCAGTCGTTAAGCGTCTGCCTTCGGCTCGGGTCATGATCCCAGGGTCCTGGGATCGAGCCCCGCATTGGGCTCCCTGCTCTGCGGGAAGGCTGCTTCTCCCTCTCCCACTCCCCCTGCTTGTGTTCCTGCTCTCGCTGTGTCTCTCTGTGTCAGATGAATAAATAAAATCTTAAAAAAAAAATCTTTCTACAAATTAATTTGAGAAATCCAAGTAACCCAACAGAAAATGGGCAAAGGACTTGAACGGGCACCTCACAAAAGAGGTGCTCCAGATGGCCAATGAACATATGAAAAGGTGTATAGCTTCACTAATTGTCAGAAAAATGCAAAATAAGTCCACAATATGCCACCAGTACATACCCATGAGAATGGCCAAAATGAAAAAGACTGACAATACCAAGTGTTGGCAAAAATATGGCAAAACGAAACTATCATATGCTGCCGGTGGGAATGTCAGTTGTTAAAATCACTTGGGAAAACTGGTATTATCTACTAAAGTTACCAACACACATGCCTCATGCCCAGCATGCTGCTCCTGGGAACTTAGCCAACATAAATTCATATATTTGTGCATCAAAGGACACATACAAGAATGTTCACAGCACTGGCCATTACAGCTCCAAACTAAGAAACCAACCCAACGTGCCTCGGCAGGAAAACGGATGAACAAATTCATGTGATGGAATAATATTCAGGAAAAAAAAAGTCAATGACAGACTTATACCTCAACATGGAGGAATCTCATAAACATGCAAAAGAAGCCAGACACAAAAGAGGATCTACTCTACGATTCTATCTATTTAAAGTACAAAACCACACAAAACTAACATTTGGTGTGAGAAATCAGTGGCTACCCTGGCAGTGACCGATAGATAAAATGGTGGGGTAGGTGTGAAGGGGTTGGTACTGTTCAGTTTCTTTTTTTTTTTTTTAATATTTATTTATTTGACACAGAGAGAGCACAAGCAGGGGAAGCGGCAGGCAGAGGGAGAAGCGGACTCCCCGATGAGCAGGGAGCCCGATGCGGGACTCGATCCCAGGACCCTGGGATCATGACCTGAGCCGAAGGCAGACGCTTAACCGACTGAACCACCCAGGCACTCGTTACTGTTCAATTTCTTGACATGAGTGGTGGTTAACTGGGCATATTCACTTTGGATTAATTCATTGAGCTGGACCCGGAGCGGTGTGCTTTCTTTTTTTTTTTTTTTAATATTTTATTTATTTATTTGACAGAGAGAGACACAGTGAGAGAGGGAACACAAGCGGGGGGAATGGGAGAGGGAGAAGTAGGCTTCCCGCTGAGCAGGGAGCCTGATGAGGGGCTCGATCCCAGTATCCTGGGATCATGACCTGAGCCGAAGGCAGACGCCTAACGACTGAGCCACCCAGACACCCGCGGTGTACTTTCTTGCATACAACTTATACTTTATTTATCAGGGTTCCACCAGAGAACCTGCAACTGTGGGAGCTGGTCAAGGGGCCTCTGTAAGGCTGTTGTCTTCCATCTGATGTTGGAGCTTGAGGTCCATGTAGCAGAGAGTCTGGAGGGCAGGTGGGTGTTAGGTGGGGGGAGGATCCAGAGCTGGCTGGAACCCCACTTGTTGGCTGGAGTCCACATGGCTTGGTTGAAACCCGAGAGCCTTCTTGTTGCCAAGGGAGATAAGGGTTTCCTGGACTCCCCTGTCAGGCACCTGGCAAAGGAGCAGGGAAGCTGAACGTGGCCTGAGGGCAAGTGAAGGCGCTGCAACCTTGGCCTCTCCTGGTGCGGACGAGCTGAGTCAGCAGACACACCATGATGAGTGTGAGCTATGAGCGAGACTGCTGATTCGCTTCCTGCCTCCGAATCTGGGCATGGGACTCTTTCTTGCAGTCCATCCTGACCAGGATGGGAATTCTGGGGATGTTCAGCCTAGCCAAGTTGAGGTGGGCCTCACCACATGTTTTGTCTGTCTGGCAAAGAGCAAAAAAATGTGAAGGCTCCTTGTACTGACGAGGGGGAGGGGACCGGGCTCTCTCAGTAGGTTAGGGTGTCACTGAGCACCACTCCAGGAGGAAAATGCATGTGCTGTTTAACCAGCCAGTCCTCTGGTATGAACTGCTCTTGCAAGTAACCCTGGACTTCTTTACAAGGGACAACAGTGTTTGAAGAAGCCAAAGACTGAGCACAGCTTCATGCCCACCAACCGGGGACCAGTTAAGTAAACTTTGAATTCTTTATTTATTGTAGTAAAGTACATAAATACATAATGTTTACCATCGTAACCATTTAGAAGTGTCCAGCTCGATGGCATTAAGCCTTTCACGGTCTTGGGCAACCATTAGCGTCATTCCTCTGCAGAATGTTTTCATCTTCCCAGACTGAGACTCTGGCCCCATTAAACACTAGCTCCCCATTCCCTGACCCAGGCCCCGGTAAGCTCTATTTTACTGTCTCTATGAATTTGATGACTCTAGGAACTTCGTATGAGCGGAATGGTACAGCATTGTCCTTTTGTGTCTGGCTTATTTCACTGAGCAAGATGTCTTAACATTCATCCATGTTAGAGCCTGTGAACGACATTCCACACGTGGGTGGACCATGTTTCCTTTACCCCTTCAGGCATCCGTGGACACTTGGTTGCTCCCACCTTTTTGGCGATCATGAGCAACACTGCTATGAACGCTGGCCTATCTTGAGTTTTTAAAAACCTTGTGCCCACAGTATTGTAAGACCATCTTTTCTCACCCCTGCCTCTGGCATTTATAGAGGAAACGACTGCTGCAACAAATAGACCCAAAAATGTATTATGGTTTAATCACAAGTTTGTTTCTTGTGCCAGTAGTAATACTGGATGGGTGAACAGGACAGTGAGGGAGGGAGAGGGTTCCCTGCCACATGCTGGGGACCCAGGTTAGCACGGGGTCCAGAGCCACCCTCGCAACAGAAAGATCGTGGAAGGATGCTGGTGGAGAGTGTTATGGCTCAGGCCTGCAAGTGCCCCGTCCTTTTCTGCTAGCTTTGCACAAGGAGAACTTAGTCACGTGACCACCCCAGTGCAAGGGGCGCTGGGAAATGCAGTCTAGCGTGCAACCCAGCAGAGGTATCTGGGTGTCGTGGGCTGTTCTGCTCCTTGCAGGCACCTACTCAACCTCATTTCCCTAATGGTTTTTGTCCTTTCAAGTTCCACTTCAATGGGACTCCTCCAGGAAGCATCCCTTGATTTCCCATTCCCAACATGTGCTGCACTGAGCATCCCCTCCTTGCTGGGCAGCCATCGGAATGTCAGCTCTGAGGACAGAGGTGGCCCAGGGCAGGGACTCAGCCACCCCAGGGCTTGCAGAAGGAACCAGCCTGGCCAAGGAGGGGGCCCTGCTCCCCACTGTGCTGTTTTGGCCCCTCAGCCCTATGCTCCCCACTGTGTTCAGCTAATGGGAGGCCCTAGTGGGAGGTCGGAGGGCAGGAGAAGCAGGTGCTTCGCCCATCTTGGGCCTGTGGCTCCTGCCAGCGCCCATGGGCCTGCACGGTTTCTGCTGTGAGGTTCCCGCTTTTGTGAGTGCCTGGGCCTGGCTCTGGCACCCTCCTTCCTCTGTCCCTCGGCCCAGGGCTGTTGCTGGGGTCCTATGGCATCCTCACCAGCTATTTGACTTCCCGATTCATCCCTGTGTTTCTAAGTCCCTGGATTTCTGTCCCTCAGGCCCTGACCAGTACAAAAGGTAGGGGACTGGACATTGGCTTCTGATGCCTTGGGACTGTGGTTTGGGGAGACCACTTCCCGAGGCGGTGGTCCCTGCCTTTGAGCTCTCTAAAGGGAGTCTATGTGGGGCTCTGGGACCTTCTGCCTCACACAGGCCCAGTAGTGCCCCTGACTCCCTACAGGCCCCTGGGAAAACCCGTCAGGTGTCGGGGCTTCCCAGCCTGGCCTGTCCCTGGCACTGGGAATGCCAGATGTCTGGGGCAAGGGCCACAGACAGTGCACCCCTTCTCCTGCTGGGGATGGGTGGGGACAACTCTCGGTCCCAACCTGGAGGGACAAGTGTAGGGTGGGGAAGCCGGAGGGAGGCCATGTTTTACTCTTTTAGGATGAAGCTTAACCGCCACTGGCTGGTGGACCAGGGGCCTCACTATTCCTCAGACCGGACTACACTTCTCTCTGAGCCTTTGCCCAGGCTGTTCCTCTGCCTGGAATATCCTCTCTGACCAATCACATCTCTGAGAATTTGACCTAGCCTTTCAGTTATGCCCTGGAGCTGTGAAGCTGCCCCTGCCCTCCTGGGCCCTGGTGTGCCTGCTCCCACATGTCCAGGCTGCCTAGACAAGGAAAGCACCCTGTCACACACTGGTTCGTGCCCGGCCCAGCACCGAGGACTCAGGTCAGTGGAAATGCCAGCCCTGCCTTACCTCATCTGCAGAGAGGAAAGTACCTCCCCAGTGGCCAAAGGGCCAGCCCTCAGTCCCACCCTGCCCTGAGCAGGAAGCCAGTGGGGAAGCAGGGGGGTGGGGCCTGGAAGGGCAAAGACTGACCCCATCCCCCTCCTTTAGTCTCTGGGGTACCACCCCAGGGAGACCCCCCCAACCCCACTCTCATCTCTGTTCCTTTGAATGTGCCCCACTGTGCAAGACTGCCTCCTCCAGGAAGCCTTCCAGACTGCAGCTGCCCCTACTGCCCAGCTTTCCCACCTCTGCCCAGGACCCTCAGCCAATGGCAAGTCTAATGGTGTGGGGAAGCTTCACTTCTGACCCTGGCGGTCAGAGCCAGCTGGACGGCCTCTGCTCCTGAGACCGGGGGATGACTCAAGGCCCTCTCAGCAGAGACAGATGCAGAAGTGGGCCTGCACGAGCCTTGGCCAAGGTTGTGACAAGCCAACTGGCCCAGCTGGAGCCGCCGCTGACTGCCCTCTCCTAGGACCTGGTGTAGCCTCCACCTCCCATCTCTGTTCCTACCCTCTGCTGCCCCCACGTGGCCTCTCTCAGCAGTGCAGGTTGCTGGGAAGAGGGCCTCCGCTCATTACCTCCCACCCCAAGGTTCTGCGTCCCTTGGGCAACCTCCTCCCGCCCCTACCTCCCAGGGTGAGCCACTGGCCTCGACCAGGGGGCCCTAGCCTCCAACCCCGCCCTCCACTGTGCTTTCGCAGAGACAAGCCTGGCCCTATCCTATGCTGCCAAGGCCCTCCCGTGGCCCCCACTCAGCACCCTCACTAGAGGGCAGCAGTAGGGGGAAGCCTGGGTAAAGAACCCAGGGACCCAGAACATGGGCTCTGGTCAGGAACTACTAGTCACTGCCTACCTGCAGGGCAGTGCTGGTGCAGGGGAGGGGCCCAGGGCCCCCCAACCTGCTGCTGGGGGAAGGGGCGGGTGCCTGTGCCGGCCCTATCCCGTCTCCTGGGCACCCAGCATGACACTCCACCTGAATCCTTTGCAGACACTTGCCCCATGAAGTGGCCACCGTTCTCAATCCCACTTTTCAGTGGAGACAGGCTAGGGAGGGACCCACCCCAGGTGGCCTTCCAGTGGACTAAGGTTGCTCTGGGTGCTGCTGGCCCCACAAAGCAACCATGGAACTCTCCAGAACCAAAGTGTAGCATGAGCACCGGACACCAAGGAGGGGGCACCACATGCTTGTTTTCTCTGGGTAGACAGGGAAGGGTATTTCAAGTGCCATTCCAGTAGAGTTAGAAGTGACATTCCAGAAGGGTTAGAATTACAAGCCTGGAGCTCAGAGAGTGACCCTCCACACTGGGGTCCTGAGGCCTCTCCCACTCAGGCTGGGCCAAGTCCAGCAATCAAGGCAGTTGGGTGTTAGGGCTCCCGGGCTGGGGCACCGGGGATCAGTGGATCAGGGTCACAGGCATCCGACACGGGATCTGAGGTACTAGCATTTGCGTTTCAGGTGCCCCCCGAGTGTTGGGTCTCCAGAGACAGGCGTTAGAATCCGCGGGTATGGAGTCTGGGGAATTGGAGCTGAGACTACCCGGGGACTAGAGGACCAGACGCCTTCCGGGAGCTGCACGGCTGGAGCCAGGTGTCCATGTCTGAGGGGACAGAGCAGGGCACTAGGCCTGGTGTGCACGGACATTAAAGGCTCAGGTTATCAGGTGTCCAGGTCCCAGTAAATGGTGCTAGGGATTTGGGGATCCAAGTGCTGGGGTACACGTTCTCCGGGGTGGCCCCATGTGCCTCTTGCTGTTGCCAAAGGCGCTCCCCTCAGGGCTGCGAACCCCAGCTGGCCCTGCAACAGAGACACGGTCTGCAGCGGACATGGGGGGCACTCCGGAGCCTCAGGAGAGCCAAGGAGGGGCACAGACGGGGTCCCGCTGGTAGAACCCTGGGTCCGGGGGGGGGGGGCGGGGGGGGGGGCCTTACACGTTGCGCTTCCTGTGACGCAGTAGCACATAGGTGAGCGCGACCAGAGCCACCACCGCCAGGCCTCCGAAGATGATGCTCAGCAGCACCGTGTAGCTCCGCGCTGGAGAGGGCACAGAGCGGTGAGGGCTGCCCGAGGGTGGGCGGGGGTGGGGGGCTGGGGCAGGTGGGCAGGGCATCCTCACCTGGCTGGCACATGGGGGTGGGCCTGGACCAGGTGCCATCAGCCTGGCAGGTGCTCGCCTCCGACCCAGACAGGCTGTAGCCGCTGTCACAGTGGAAGGAGACGGTGGAGCCCGACAGGTACCTGATACCCTCCTTGCGCCCATTGCGGGGTGGAGCCAGCCAGCCACAGGACGTCACTGGGGGTAGGGGACCAGGAGCAGACCACAGGATGAAGCCACTGGCTGACCCCCCCTACAGCTGCCGGCTTAGGAGGTCATGTCCCAGCATCCAGTGCCCACCGCATCGCCCTCACCAGGCTGCAGGCTCTGCACACGATGCTGGTGCCCCTGGTGGGCCATCCGCGTAGCATTGCCCACGCTCAGGCTCCCAGTGGCCATCACGTCGAATATGCAGAAATTGTTGTCTCCACACAATTCAGCTGCCTCAGTGGCCTGACGGGGGTCGGGGACGGTCTCCTCGGGGAACAGGGGCTGAAAGCTGTGGTCATGCTTGGACTGATACAGGAAGTTGTTGACCAGGGACCAGGAGTCATAGGTGAGCAGGGATGAGGTGTTCTCCACGGCCCCTGGGGAGACATGCAGCAGGTCATGCTGGTGGCCGAGGGTTCTGGGGTCTCTCCCCTCACTTCCATCCATGGCCATGTCCCCTCGCCCCCGACCCCCAGGGGGCCTCAGGGTCACTCACAGTCGGCCCCAAAGCGGAAGAGCTCGCGGGAAGTGGCCTTGGGGGGCAAGACCTTCCCGTTGCGCAGGGTGAAGTCATCGGTGGGGTCATCATTCAGTGTCCCGAGAAGGCCTTGCGTGTGGGTAAGGAACTTCTCAGGCAGGAGGACAGTCACACTCAGGAATGGACCCTGGACGCTGACCTCCAGGCCAGCCCCTGATGACAGCATGATGGATACGCTGTCCTGGGCAGCTACGGACAGGAACATACCTGGGCACAGGTGGAACTGGGGTCAGGGCTGCCCACTCAGGGCACCGTGCCGTGACTCCACAGCCCCAGGATGAGAGGGTCAGCATCCGTGCACTCCCAGGGAAGGGACGGGCATCCCCAGGGCCAGCCCTGCTGTGACACTCCCTCACCCCAGGCCCATACCTGTACTGGGACCCCCACACTGACACCAAGTGCCCAGGCTCCAAAGGGACCCCTCACACCGAGGCCTGCCTGGGGTCCCCCGTCGGCCCTTGCTCCTTGAGGAAAGCAGCAGCCATGCCCACCTCTGCCCTTCCGGGGGTTCCCTGCACCCTCAGCAGCAGCAGGCCCATCCCAGGTCCCCACCCATCCCAACAACAAGAAACTCGTTTCATTAGTTCAGTTCCCTGAGGCAGCACAGGGAAGGGGGTGCACAGGGGGCTGCTCCTTAGCCCTCAGGGCCAGCCAGCATCCTCGAAGCAGGCAGTTCCTATTATTGTAGCTTCCAGCTCCTCGTCCCACCGTCCGGGCATCTCAGGGTTCTGATCACATGTCTGGGGCTCCATGGGTGTGAAAGCACGAGATCACAGCAGGTCCCCAGGCTGGATCTCCCTACCTGGGGCCCAGAACGTCACCTGCCCAGACAGCCGTGGGCTGGGGACATGTGTCCACTGTGCTGGGCCCCTCACCGTGGGGTGCAGGGGAGCGGGGCGGACTTGCACCACTATGCTGGGGACAGCATATGGATCATATCGCGAGGCCTCCATCTCCGCATCCACGCTCTGAAGCCCCGGGCCATGCCGGTGAGAGGCACGGAGGCTCAGGCGGGAGGGAAAGGGCAAGAGAGCGGCCCCCGGAAGCTCCCCGGCCATCACACTCACCCTTCAGGTCCATCCAGCTCTGCTCGGTGAAGCTGAGCACCTCCTGGTTCAGCAGCACCTGCAGGACCCGGCCCTCGCCAGCCAGCCGGACCTCCACCACATCGGAGTTGCCCTCCTGCACGGCCACGGCCACCAGCCCCGTGCCCTGGTCCTGCGGGCCTGCGGTGGCACGTGCAGAACGCGGAGCGCTCAGCTCCAGCCTTCCTCCTGGGAAGGCCCTGAGCCTCCAGGAGCCCACGGGGCCCCAGCCTCACCCTCCGAAGTCATCCGGGGCTGGGCCCGCCCCTGCACCCTCAAGTTGGTCAGCGTGGCCTCCAGCAGCACGTACTCGCCACGCCCGTTGAACGAGAAGTTGGCACCATCAAAGGTGACAAAATGTGGGTCCCCGAAAGCGGAGGCTGGGGAGAGCAGAGGGTCAGGGGGGCCGCGCGGGTGCAGCCCTGCCCGGGGTCCAGCCTTGGCCAGCACCCACCTAGGCGCGACGGCCGGTAGCTGCGACAGTCACTGGAGGGCCGCCGCCGCATGTACCGGGAGCACTCGGGCGCCCAGAGGCAGCAGTGGTAGAAGCTGACGACATCGTAGAGCCAATGGGAGAGGCCAGGCACGCGGGGTGGTGTGCGGAACGGGGGCGCGCCCCAGTCGTGGCCGCGGTCCGGGGTGCTGCCCCCGGTTGAGTCGGCCGTCAGGAGCAGGGTGCCGGCCTCTGTGTAGCAGCACTGCTGGCCGGAGGCGTACTGGGGGCTGGGGGTGAGGACAGGTCAAGGCCACTGTCGGCCCCCCCGCCCCCCCCGCAAATGGGGACTCACCTGGCTTGCACGGAGCGCACACAGTGCACGGCCCCGGGGTGGTAGGTGCACACGCTGCCGTGCTCAATGTCACAGCCGTAGTCCGTCTGCAGAGCGGGAGGCTGCCGTCAGCTGGACTAGCCTCAGGCTCTGCCATCCCCTCCCTGGGAGCCAACCCCTGAGGGCCCTCAGACCCCAGCCTCGCCTCCCTGGGGCCTCTATCTACCGCCACACGCCGGCTACCTCCAGCTGGCCCCTCGCCCTCTCCTGGGCCCCGACTGGGGTAGGGGCTTACGTGGAAGCGGCCTGAGTCAGCCCGGGCCTGAGCCAGGGTGCAGGGGCAGTCAGGCAGCTCCTGCAGGAAGTTGGGCAGTTGGTCCTCCAGCTCTTCCCAGGCCAGGCACTGGGCCCGGGCCCAGGCCTCGGGGTCTGCCTGGAAGTCCTCACCCAGGTGCCAGGCCAGCGCGTGCTCGCTGCTCCAGAGGGCCTGCACGTCCCTGTGGGGGCCATGCACACACTTAAGGGCCGCTCCCACCCTCGGTCCCACAGCCCCGGGCCTCCCTGTCCAGCCTGCGGAGCAGCGACCCAGGCCCAGCAGCCCGTCCTCTGCGTGGCCGGCGGCCCTTACTTCTCCCCTGCGTAGCATTTGCTGTTGATGATCCGAAGTGCACCCACTTCCCATTTCTGGTAGTTTGGAGGTGCGGGTTTCGGAGTGAAGCTGAAGAAGCCAGAGTTGGGGATGCTTGTGGCCAGGGGGTACAGGTACGACCACTTTGCAGCCCACTTATCTGAATAGGGCTTCCCTAAGGGAGAGAAGGCCTCAAGTCAGCCCCGGGGTCCCTCCAAAGAGTCCTGGGGCCCCTCCAGAGTCCTGGGGCAGAGGAGGGGCCAGGCGCCTGTCTTTGGTGCTCAGAGAGGCCTGATAGATGGACAGACAAGACGATTCCCAGAGGAAGACCTGCCCTGCTGCCCCAGCAAATATCCTGGCTCAAGGGACGACCATCTCCTCCTCCCACATGTTAGGGTCCCAGCCCCACCTCGCGGCCAGGCCTTGAGCCACGCTAGCAGTCCTGGGGCCCCTCCAGAGTCCTGGGGCAGAGGAGGGGCCAGGCGCCTGTCTTTGGTGCTCAGAGAGGCCTGATAGATGGACAGACAAGACGATTCCCAGAGGAAGACCTGCCCTGCTGCCCCAGCAAATATCCTGGCTCAAGGGACGACCATCTCCTCCTCCCACATGTTAGGGTCCCAGCCCCACCTCGCGGCCAGGCCTTGAGCCACGCTAGCAGTCCAGGGGCTTGGGGAGGCTGGGTGGAGCAAGCTTTTTCTGTTTCCAAGGCAAGCCTTGGATCCAAGGGCTGGGAATGCCCATACCTCCTCCTGGAGCTGGTAGCAAGCAGCTGGGGGTTCCCAGCCTGCCCCCCACTCCCACACTTTCCCCAGTTCCCCTTTCTTGCCTGTACTCTTCCTGCTCAAAATCCCCACTGGGATTGGGCCCTGTCTGGAACGCCCTCGCTCCCATCTCTGCAAGCGCCAAACTCCCAGCCCTATGGGCCCACAGAGCTCCCCCGCCGGTCCAGCCTTGGGCCCGCCTTACCTGTCTCCTCATAACCCCAGAGCTCAATGGTGACAGACTGCGTGGACAGAGCCGAGGGCTCCCAGGTCACGGTGAGGTTGCCCGTGATGCCAGCAATGCCATAGTATTGCCAGTGGGTCTCGTTCACCAGCTCGCTCTTCTCCGTCTCCGACACCTTGCTGGGGTGCACTGGGCAGGGGGTGGGGGCTGAGTGAAGGCCTGAGGCCCCAGGGGCTCTGAGAGCTGGGGGTGCCCTCCCAGGGACAAAGCATGGCAGTCCCATTAGAGTATGGTCTCCCCCAGAGCCCTGTGCTGCCCAGGCCTCTGGCCTCCACCTGGCTTCCCCCCTTCCCCTAGCCTGGTTGAGTCGAGTGGCCCACCTTGCCGGGGGACCCCTAAAGGCCCCAGCCCCCTTTTGGGCCGGGTGTCCTGTGTGGATGCCAGGGGCTGGGGAGAGGAGCTTGAGAACGCTCGCCCCCGTCGGGCACACCTCCAGAAGGACTGGTTAAGCCGGGGCAGCCGGGCACTGCCAGGCAGGTGAGGCGTGACTAGATTAGCGCCAGGGAAAGTCCCTGTGGGGGTGGGGGGCAAGGCTCAGGAAAGCAGGGCTCACCGGCTAGCCAGGTCCCCGAGCGCGGGAAGGAGCGACCATTGTCCATGGAGAGCGTGAAGGGGATGCGGCCTGTCTCATAGAGCAAGGGGGACACACAGTGCACACGTCCAAAGGAGTCCACATGCCCGAGGGTCTGGATGCTCTCCTTAAACCTGTGGGGGTTGCAGGTGGCAGGAAAGGCTGGGCCAGGGTGGAGGGACCCCAGCCAGGAGCTGCCCCTGGGCCCCCAGCAGGCACGGAGCCCCTCGGGCCTCCCACCTGCAGATCACGCCATTGGTGGAGTTGAACCAGCTGAGGTGCTGCACTACGAAGTCCTTGCCGCCCATCATGGAGCCCGAGTAGGGTGAGACTTCTAGGCAGAAGTCCCGAAAGTCCGAGCAGCAGGAGCTCAGGCCGGAGCAGGTCGGGTGGCAGGAGCACAGCCCATCCTGGTCTCCACAGCGGTGGGAGCAGCTCCCCCTGGTACCTGCAGGAGAGGGCCCTGAGCGCCCGGCTGCCCCACGGGCAGGGCTGGCGATTATTTTCCCGGAGCCCATGAGAGAGAAGCATCCCCAGGAGTCGCACTGAGCACCAAGTGAACACAGTAGAAACCCAGGGGGCCCGTGGGGTGAGGGATCCCTGGTACAAATGATCTAGCAGTTGCCTGAACTACTTGCCAGGAGGAGGGAAGATAAGGGTAAAGGCCTCCAGACATACGTTTTTGCAGCATCAAGAGGAGCCTCTAGGGCAGGACTGGCCTTCAGCCACCAAGTCCCGGAAGACCACATCCTCTGATGGCCAGAGGTGGCTGAGCCCTTGACCTGGCCTCGGAGCTGTCTCTGTTCCCTGAAGGGTCAGTGAACCCAGCCTGGCGGCCTGTCTGGAGTCTGGGGACATGGCTACTAAGTCCCACTGGAGGCCTGGCAGGAGCTCATTCCCAGGCTTGGCTGTGGCCCCCAAAGGAGCCCCACCCTGAAGGGAGAGGAGGGTCATCTCCAGCAGAGGGCCCAGCAGGGCCAGGGTGAGGGAGAGAGTGGTCTGGTGTGGGGCCGTGGACATCAGGCCTCAGCTCTTACCACCACGGGGACCCACGACAGGGCCATATCTTCAGGGAATCCGTGCCTCTGTAGTGGGAGCGGTGGGGCAGAGTGGAGGGTGGAGACTGAGGGACGACTGCAGACACCGAGGCAGGGATCACACGTCCCACCTGGCCCTTCCCTGCCACCCCACCAACGGGGGCCAGTCAAGGGCTGGGTTTGGACCTGAGCCACCCCGGTGACCCCATTTCACCGAGTGCAGGCCTGGCACTCAAGAGCATCAATAAATTTTTATTAGCAGATGGCTCAAGGGAGTGGGGGAGGAGGCCGAGTGAGGCCAGTAAGTGAGGTTAAGTGGCTGAAGGGTGGTGGCGCTTCCCGGAGATGGCAGATAGGAGTGGGGGGGGGGGGGGTTGCCTGGGAGCCTGCCACTGCCAGCCCAGCCCAGCCCAGTGTGAGGCTCGGGAGTAGGAGCCTTCCCTGAGACTTTCCCAGGTTCAGCCCTACCCTAATAAGGACCCACAACCCTGCCTCTCACCAGTCAGGGGGCTCAGTGGGGCTGTGGGCTCCTCCACCTGTGAGCACACCCTCCACAGGGGCTCGGGGCTGCAGGCGGGGGGCTCTCCTGGGCCCTCCACCCGCCCCTGGGCCACGTCCCTCGCAGGTAGCTGGCACCTCCCAGCTCCCAGCGGGTTTAGGGTGGGCACAGCCCAGACTCCATCCCGCCAGTAGCCCCCGGACCCTGGGCACCCCAGAATTTCTTCTCACAGCCCCCAGTACAGTCCCAGATGGCCTGGCAGATGGACAGAGGCTGAGCAGAGGGGTCTACCCTGGGCCTGGCTGCAGCAGGGAAGTAGGCAGAGCCCGGGATAGAAGCGCAGGGTAGGGGCATACCTGCTGCAGGCCGGGGGCCCGGCCCGGGGACTGTAGCCAGCAGCAGCAGCAGGGCCCAGAGCAGGAGGGGCAGCATCATGGTCCGGCCTGAGTCTGCAGCCTGCAGCGCGACAGTGGCTGGGCGACTGCGGGCCGCCTAACTCCCCTCGGCCTGGCCCCGCCCGCCCCGCCCCGCCCCGCCCCGCCCCGCCCCGCCCGGCCACCTCTCAAAGTCCACAGGTTCCCTTGGGGGCTGATAGGGCCCAACCTGCCCCGTTAGCACATTCCTGGCCAGCCGGCCCGGCACACGGGAGGAGGGGGTCCGAGCCTCCAGGGATTAGATCCCCATGTCCAGAAGCTGCGACCCAGACCACCGGATCCCACCTCTGGCCCAGCCCGGGAATCCGGGGTGGGGCTCCGCAGGCGCTGGGATTTGGGGGAGTGGTTCTAGCAATCTCAGGATTCCAGCAGCCAGGAGCCCGCAGCCACAGACCTCTCCTCCCTCTTCCTCAGTTTCCCTGCCCAGAGCACATATTCCCAATTCCTCCCCACAGCCTCGCAGGGAGGAGGGAGCAAGTAACTTTCTGGTGTTTGTGGGTGCTGGAGGAGGGCTGGAGGAGGGGAACCCCTTCGGGGGGAGGTGAAGGCTGTGGGAGGGGCCCAGCCAGGGCAGGTTAACAGTGGGGTTAGGGGCTGAGACCAGACCCCCTTGCTGGGGAATCCCTGGGCTCCAGAGAAGAGCCACCCAGCCGCACCCACCCCTGGCTATCATTCATAGAATTTGCATAATCTCTTCAGTGTTCTCCCTTCTCACTATGCAGGGGAGGAAACAGAGGTCCAGATGTAGACAGGTGGGGTCAAGATCACTGGGAGAGGCTGCGGTGCTGGGCCAGGGCCCAGGCAGCTTCTCAGGGACCTCCACTCCACTCCTGAGGCCTGGAACTCTCTTGGGCCCTGCCACCTGGGCTGGGTGTTCAGACAGATGGTTCTCTCCCCAGGGGCAGCATCCAAAGGGGACACATCCCCAGACCTCGAAGGGAACTGAAGCTGGCGGCGGCTATGAGCTTAGGCCACCTGGCTGTGTCCAATCTCAGTTCCTGGGATCTGGCCAGCCCCTGTTCCCTGGGCACCACCCCTTCCTGTCCGGTGGGTGGGCCTGCAGTTTCATCAGAGAGGCGGCACCTATAGGTGTCAGGAAAGCCAGTTGGGGCAGTTAGAAGCCACATCTCCCAGCTTGGTTGCCAGGTGCTCAGGTCACCCTCTGTAGGCAGGTGCCAAGGACTGGTGCTGGGCCTCTTCCCAGGCCCAGGGTCAAAGGTGTTCCCTATGGCCCAGGTTAGGGGAAGGAAGATGATAGGAATGCTCCCAGGATGAGTCCCAGGTGTCCTGGGGGCCTGAGAGCCAGGAAGCCCTGGGAGACTGCTGGGCTGTTCCCAGAAATTCCTCTTTCTTGGGCACTCCAGTCTGAGAAGCTAGGAATCTGGGGAGGGGGCATCAACTGAGTAACTGCTGGCCCCACCTTGCAAAGAGCCTGAGTTGGGGCAGTTTTGGCAAGGGTCTTTCCAAGGCTGCTATGCTCCTGGGTCCCCATGATGGCTCTGCCAGGCCTGCGCTGGGGACCCTGGCGGTGCCCAGCCCATGAGGGGCACAGGGCAGCAAGGAGCATCCCCTCTCCCTCCCGGACAGAGAGCCTTTCCAGGGAGAACAGGGCCAGCCCAGATCTATCCGGGGGAAGACAGCTGGGTCCCCAAGGCACTGATGGGGTTCTGAAGGGCTGGTTCGGGCCCCCGCAACCTGTGCCTCCCCAAAACAGATGTACTTGGAGCCTGAGAGAACAGAGCCAGCATCGTGGGTTTATATGATGCTCTGCTGTCACCTCTAAAGAATGAATTTTTGGACAAGGAACCCCCATTATATGTTGCAGAGCCCCACAACTTATATGGCCAGTTCCATCAGAGGGCAAGTGTGGTGGGAGGTAAGTACCTTTCCTGCCAGCCCCCGCCTCCCGCTACCTGATACTGATCCTACCTCTCAGGAGCCCCTGCAGCCTCCTCCTCCCACCCCTGCCCACACTCCACAGGGGAACACCCCATACTCTCTGAGTCCTTCAGGGGACACTGTGGAGACCCCTTCCAGGCCTGGCTCCAGTCCCACCCAGAGGGTCTGCCCTGCTTGGTCTGTGCTCACCTCTCCCCACTGACTCACTCCCCCCCACCGCCCCAACCCCTGCCTGCTCCTGGGATGCCCAAGGGCTGGTCCCTGACCAACAAGAAGAAGGGCTCAGAAACCCTGGACAGCAACCAGTTGAGGGAGGCCCCCGGGGGGTTGAACAAAGAGGCAAACATAACTGTTCCATCTTTATTAGAAAAGAAACCAAAAAAAGGGAATGGGGCGAGCCCAACCCTAAATGACCCCTCCACTGTGACACAGGCAGAAGCCGGCTCGTCCGGGCGTCAAGGTGTGGACACGGCCACCTGGGCTGGGCGCGGGCACGGTTATACAAAGTCAACATTTCATAGAAAAGGATGCCAGCCCTGCTGTGTGAGCTGTGGCCATCTTCACGTGGCCAAGCTCGGTCTCTGGGCCCCCATGCGGTGGGGACAGACGACGGCCCAAGCGGGTGGGGAGGACACCGCGAGGGATGGAGGCTGAGCAGACTGGGGTGTGCGTGGGGAAACAGCGCTCCGCCTGGGCCTGGCATGCCCTGAGGGGCTCAGGCCAAGGTGGGGCGGCCCCAGCCCTCAGATGTCCATGTAGTCGTCATCCTCATCGGTCTCGCTCTCCAGCGAGGACTCCTGGCTCGACGTCTCCAGGACCTCCAGGGCCGGCTGGCACAGGCTCTCCTTCCGCACGTTGGCAGCCGACTGGGCAGACAGGATGGCCGACTGCACACAGAGCAGGCAGGGAGCTGGTCAGGGGTGGCCCGGGCCTGGCCCCAGTCCCGCCTGTAGGCCACGTCCCGCCCATGCCCCCCACTCGGTACCCGTGGTCACCTTCAGCTTCTGCTTGGTCTCCTCCGAGATGCTGCCTTTGGGTGAAAGCAGGGTTGGGGTGGGCGGCGTGACGGTGATCTCAGGGGGGAACTTGGTGGCGGCCGAGGGGATGACCAGCTTTGGCATGCTGGGCAGGAGGCGTGACTTGGCCCGGCCGGGCTCTGCCTTGCTGGGCGGGCCCTCAGGTGGCTGGGCACTCACACCGCTGGGCACCTTGGAGCTGGTGACTGTGGGGTGGACCGTGGGAGCTGAGCCTTGCTCACAGCCTCCTGGGCCTGCCTGCCCTTCCCTGGCTTGGGCCTCAGTTTCCCCTCTGGAAGACAGAGGCAACCAAGAGCGCCTCCTCCTGCTGTGTCAGACCGAGGGTGCCTTCTCTTGGCGTTCTGGTCTGTGCTGGCTGGCAGGCTCCAGGCCTCCTCCTATGTCTGCCTCCCTGACTGCCTGTCTGGCTCTGGGCTGGGGGGCCCAGGGACTAGAATACAGGCAAGCCCCTGGAGCTTTCCCAGGGATTCTGCAGGCCCTCCAGGGGCTGTGCACACACGAACTGTTGCATCCCTGCAACAATGCTAGGACGCATGTCCTAATGTTGTCCACACCCCAGGGAGGATGCGAGGGCCCAGAGCCAAGTCACTTGGCCCTGGGGCATCCACTTCCCCTCCGCTCCAGAGCTGCATATCCCCAGAGCCTGGAGGCAGCGGTTCTGGGGCTGGCAGCCTCCGGGAAGCTGTAAGAGTTAGGAGCCCCTGGGTCAGCCTAGCTGGTCTCTGCATTCCTCCGAGGTCCCATGGCTTTAAAAGGAGCGGGGCTTACTCAGAGCCCATGCCCGGCTCCGAGGGGCTGGCAGCAGGCCCTACGCCCTGAGTTGGGTCGGTGAGATCCTTGAACCTAAGGAATCCCCAAGGGAGGCTGGCCAGTTGGGAAAGGATGACTACGACATGACACGGACAGTGGTCTGGTGGGACTGGCCACCCCTCTGCTTGCCCCTGACTCCTCCCTCCGCATGTAAGCCCCTCCCTTGGCCCCCAATCTGGGGAGGCTCCTCCCCGGGACTAAGCAGCCTCAGCTTGGGCTGGCCACCGGCCCTCGCTAGTCTCTGTGGAGCTGGAAGTAGAATGAGGGGCTCTCCACCCCCCAGCTCTTCAGCCCAGGCCTCCCTGCCCAGCTGCCACTCCACTCGGCTTCCCCACCACTGGGTCCTCCCAGGTCCCGCTCAGCCAGCTGTTCACCCTGTGATCCACCCCCCATCCTTCCAGGCAAAGCTCCCTTGGTGGCTCCCAACTCGCCTTACCCTGGCTGCAGGTGGGCTCGGCGCCTGTCCGGGGCACGGGCTCTGTGGGCCAGCAGTGCGGCTCTGCCGAAGGGCTCTCAGGGATGGTCTTCACCTGCTCACTGCGCAGTGGCTCCTGGGGCGGGAAGCCCAGGCCCTCTGCCACTCCTGCCAGCTCTTCTCCCTCTGTGGGGGCACAGGAGGGCCACAAGTTACGATCCTCACCCAGCCTGGAAGACAGGGCCCCTCCCTCCTGAACCCTGGGATACCTGGCAGGGGACCTGCGCTGAGGCAGCTCGCCACCTCCACTGGTGGACCAGCAGGGGCTTCTCTCGAACAATCACATGGGTGGGGCCAGGCTGGTACAGGCAGGAAACCACTCCCCCTCCAGGTGGACACTGGTGGGGCTGGTTCACTAGCTGGGGTTACTGTGTGCCTGACACAGCAGGGGCAACATGGACACTGTGGGGCCTCCAGCCCCATCAAACACCATCACGGGATTTAGAGGTGGGCTCATGGGCTCTCCCCTCTAGCCTGTGGGAGTGGCACTCAGAAACATGGTCAGGACCCAAAACCAAACCAGCTAGCTCAGACCAGAGTGGATGGAGTGGTGTGCTGGCACCGTGCCCTCCTGCCAGGCCACACCTTCCCTGGCATGAGGCAGGGGCCGGGAACTGGCCTCCTTTGAGCCAAGGTCTGATGGGCCCGAAAGGTGCCAGTTGCGTCTATGGCCACCAGCCAGGCCATTAGTCAGCATCGGTCCCCCGGCTCTCAGGCCCCCGGGCCCCGCCTGCAGCTGCCCCTCAGCTCCTGCTGCATCCAGGCCTCCTCATGTTCCCTTCCTCACCTTACTCATCTCTTCCTTCT